AGCTTGAACTTGCATATAAGTAGTTGGTGATCTGTTCCACAATCAGCTCCTGGCCTAGTTTTCACAGCTGATACTGAGCTTCTCCATCAGTTCTTTCCACAGATGCAATCAATATGATTCCTATTCATACCATCAGGTGAAATCCATGTGTATAACCTGTGTTTATGTTTCTTATAAAATATATTTGCAATGAATAAGTCACTGTGCAATATTCAATCATTCTATCTCTCCAGCTTCATTTCTGTTACCAAGTCCATGTTTTCCAACTACTGATTCTTCTTCTCTGTTCCCAACTTTTGCATTCCAATCACCCAGTATTATTAATGCATCTTTATTGCATGTTTGATCGATCTTCAACTGTAAAAGTTGGTAAAAATCTTCTGTTTTCTCTTCTTTGGCTCTGGTTGTTGGTGCATATATCTGAATGATAGTGATATTCACTGGATTTCCTTGTATACGTATGGATATTATTCTGTCATTCACAATATTGTACTTCAAGACAGATCTAGAAATGACTATACCAATTGACATATTTCAACTAACAGATGCTTCCCTGGATGTGCTAAGTTGTGTCAAGAAATCTGGAGAACAACCGCTTGGCCAACTGACTGGAAGAGATCTATATTTGTTCCTATTCCAAACAAAGGTGATCCAAGAGAGTGTGGAAATTATAGAACAATATCATTGATTTCACACGCAAGCAAGATTCTGCTGAAGATTATTAAAAAACAACTGGAACAGCATATCAGCAGAGAACTGCCAGAAGCCCAGGCTGGGTTTAAAAGTGGTTGTAGTACTAGGGATATTGTAGCTGATGTTAGATGGAATTTTTTTTGAGCTTTTTGTCACTTTATTGTTAACCAATGAATGTGATCCAAAATTATAGATGTAATTTAATTATACAACACATAATTATGCTATGGTAAAATAAAGTCTGTTGGGATTTACCAAATATTCATGAACATAATTTTATGTTGCTTTATAAACATGAGCTCTCTCTGCTGATGATAAAAGCTGTAACTGGTTTAATCACTATGAAATCCCATATTACAAATGGCTGTTTCTTTTAAGAAAAATTCACACAGCTTTGAAAATGGATCAAATCCGTTTTAATCTTAATCTACAAAGAGATTATGAACAGCAGATACAACTGGTAGTTTTTCAACACTGATATCAAACTGATGTAGCAATGACAGCACACAAAAGGAAGAAAATGAATAACAATTCAGAGGAAGTCTAAGTTTTCGCTTTTAATGGCAACTGCTTTGATATTTTGGAAAAGTGAAAACTTATGCTTCAAAGCTTAAATTGCAAGGTTCACAAAGTTCACCACTATTTCTCTGATGAGCTGATGGATCTTAACTGAAAGCAGGGAACACCAGAGGGATGTCTATCTGTTTTTCATTGATTATGCAAAGGTGTCTGACTATATGGATCATAACAAACTGTGGCTGACTCTGAGAAGAATGGGAATCCCAGAACACTGGATCGTGCTAATGCGAAACCTATACTTGAACCAAAAGGCAGTCATCATAACAGAGCAGGGAAACACTGCATAGTTCAAAATTGGGAAGGGTGTATGCCAGGGATGTGTCCTTCTCCATACCTTTTCAACCTATATGCAGAACAGATTATCCGGAAGGCTGGGCTGTATGAGGAGAAGTGTGGCATCAGAATTGATGGACGATTCATCAATGATCTGCTTTATGCAGATGATACAACCCTGCCCTGATGCACTTGCTGCAGAGGGTCAAGGACTGCAGCCTTCAATATGGATTAGGACTCAATATCAAGAAGACAAAGATTCTCACCACTGGGCCAATTGGCAGCATCAGGATGGATGGTGAAGAGATTGAGATTTTTCACAGCTTTAGTTTGCTTGGCTCCACAGTCAACATTCTTCTAACCAGCAGCCAGGAAATGAAAAGGTATTGTGATGCAAAAGTCTGCTGTTAGGGACCTCTCTGAAGTACTGAAGAGCAATGGTGTCACTCTGGAGACTAAGGTGTGCCTGATACAGTCTTTATAATCACTTGCTATGCATCAGAGAGCTGGACAATGACTAGGGAGGAGGATAGAAGAAGAATTGATGCCTTTGAGCTGTGGTGCTGGAGTAGAGTATTGAATATACCATGGACTGCTAAGAAAATGAACAGGTTTATCCTGGAGAGGGTTAAACCAGGATGTTCCTTGGAAGCAACGATTCTGAGACTTCGTTTGACATACTTTGGACATGTTGTAAGGAGGGACTGGTCCTTGGAGAGGGACATCATGACTGAGAGGGTGGAGGGACAGTGTAGGAGAGAAAGACCCTCTATGAGGTGGATTGATTCAGTGACTGGGGTAATCAGGGTGAGTGTGTTGGAGATAGTGAGATTGGCACAGGACAGAGAAGGGTTTAAGGCTGTTGTACATAGGGTTGCTAAGAGTTGCAAGCAACTCGACTGTGCATAACAACAACCTGAATTTACAAATCATCGCAAGAATAGGTTTAATACATTGAAACACTTACAACTGAAAAGCGCATGTGTTGTGAGATTACATCAAGGACATCATCTGTGAAGAAAGCAAAAGATCATTACAAATACAGAAAAGAAATCCAAATGTTTGTACTAAAAGACTCTGAAACTCGCTCTTCAATATAGTGAACTAAAGCAAAAGGCAGAAATAATAAAACTGAGCTGAAGAAATTTCACGAAACAGTTTGATAAGACAAAACTGTGGGAGGATATCAAGAATATCATTCATGAAGAATGCAAAAGATCATTACAAAGATGGTGGAAAAAGGAAAGACCAAGATGGATGTCAGAAGAAACTCTGAATATTGAACTACAGCATCGAGCCAAAGCAAAGGGAAAAAAAATCAAGATGTTATGGAGCCGAACAAAAGATTTCAAAGACTATCGTAGGAAGATGAAGCAAAGTATTTTCATTGAATGTGTAAATGTCTGGAGTTGGAAAATCAAGAGGGATGAACTAACTTGCTTGACATTGCTTAACCTGAAGAAATTGAAGAACAAAGTCAAGCTTATAGTTGCAATACTTAAGGATGCTGTGGGTAGAATGTTGAATGACCCAGAAAGTATCAAAAGATGGACGGAGTATACGGCCATTGTACCAAAAAGAACTGACTGACACACAAAAATTTCATGAAACAACAGATGATCAAGAGGCATTGGTGATGAAGGAGGAAATTCAGGCTTCTCTGAAGGAATTGGGGGGAAAAAAGTACCCCAGAAATTGACAGTATACCAACTGATGTACTTCAACAAGCAGATGCTGCCTGGATTTACTCACCAGGTTGTGGTAAGAAATCTGGAAGACAATCCTCTAGCCAGCTTACTGGAAAAAGATTCATATTTATTCCCATTCAAAAAAAAAAAAGAAAGAAAGAAAGAAAAAAGGTGCTACAACAGAGTGTGGAACTTATCAAACACTATCATTAATGTCACATGCAAACAAGATCCTACTAAAGATTATCAAAACAATGACTGGAAAACAAGTCTTCAAGAACTAAAATATACTCTAATCCTGGGAATAGAGTGGATGCATTGAACACTAATTACTGAAGACTGCATAAATTGTGAAATGACAACAAAGCCAGCATCCATGGAGAAACAAGTGGTTATTACAAAGCCAAGGGAGAAAGAAAAGACCAAAAAGGATGATGGAAGAGAATATGAAACTTGCACTAGAATGCAGAAAGGCCAAATCAAAGGGAAGAAATGCTGAAGTAAAAAAAGGAAGAATGTTGTTGTTAGGTGCTATTGAGTAGAGTATGGTTCTTAGAGACCTTATGAAGAACACATCTGAACCCTGTCCTCACCTATGCCATCCTTATCACCTCTGACACACTTGAGCCCATTTCTGCCATCACTGTGTCAATCCAGCTCATTGAGGGCCTTCTACTTTTTCACCGATCTTCTACCAATCCAAGCATATTATCCCTTTCTGAGGAATATTCCCTCCTAGTGACATACCCAAAATAAGTGAGATGAAGCTTTGCCATTCTTACATCTAATGAACACTCTGGCTGTACTTTTCCCAAGATATATTTATTTATTCTCCTGGCAGTCCATGGGATATTCATGCTCTTCTCCAACATCACAACTTGAAGGCATCAATATGTCTTCTGTCATCCTTATTCATTGTTCTAGCTCTCAGCATTATAGCAAGTGATTCAAAAGACTATGGCCTGAATCAGGCAGAATTTAGTCTTCAAACTGACATAAGTTCTTCAACGTAATTCAAAGGCATTAATTCTGCCTTAGTCTTCCTTATTTATTGTCCCAACTTTCAGATATATATGAAATAATTGAAAATACCCTGCCTTGGCTCTGGCACATCGTACTCTTTAAACTGTGCTTAAACACTAAGCACAAAATAGTTTTTTCATAATTGGGAATAGAATTATAGTAATTCTATCATAAAATTAGGGAAGTATGATGGTGTAGACAGTAGGAAGTTGTACTGCTAACTCAAAGGCCACAACTCTCTTGTAGTTTGAATCTCCTCCCATTTGATTTATAGTCTCAGAAACATACTGTCAGGTCAGCTATGAGACAGTTTTGACTCAATGGCAGAGCATAGTGTATATTGTTCCCCATAAAATTATTTTTATTTTTGTTATGTAAACATTTAAAAAAAATCAATACATTATAATTTTTTAATAAATGTGCTGCCAAAGCGAGCACATTATAATTTTTAATATACCAAATAAATTTGTAGCATATCCTGAAACTTTAAAGAAATTCTACCATTCTTTTTATATTAAACATTAAGAAATTAATCTTGGAACGATGGAAAGTAGTTTGAATTACCATTGCTGATTAAATGAACACTAATTTATTATAGAATTAAGAAATTAACTTTTATCCATTCATTTTTATAGTAGAGACCTTTATAATCAATGAATATGATAAATGAAATTGTAAATTAATGTGTTCTAGATATACATGACATCGGATTTTAGCTTTAATACTATTTAAAGTTTAAAATACAGATACTATCACAGCTAATCCCCAAAATGCCATACGGACTGCAAAAATATTGGTCCCTAGACTAGGAACAATATATGTTACTACTACAATATTAGAAACCTCTGAGGTGAGATTTTCTTCACTGATAGCTTTAATTGCAATATACACTTGGGTACCATTTTCTAGATTGTACATTGTTGGAATAAATTCAAAATTTTCTGTTAAGCCAGCCATTCTGGGTATCAGGCTGGAAGTATTCACAGGATGAGCATTGTTGAAATCATCTTGGAGCTGCTGGTAACTATTGCTGGTCCTTAAATCATAGTGTTTGGCTAAAAAACAAACAGATACATCATGTAGAGTAAAAACATTAGGATTCCTTACTGCTATTACTATAAAATCAAACTCACTGCCTTGAAGTGGATTCTGACCCTTGGCAAATCTCCATCACATTACAAGTTTGTAAATCTTGACAGCAGCTGCTGTCAACATCTTTCTCCTATAGAACTGCTCGATGTCTTCAAATTGCCAACCGTTTTTTAGTGAATAGTCAAGCACTTAACTATTGCAATATCAAGACTCCTTTTCATGGATTATAGAAGCAATTAAATAAAAATCCTGTAAAAATAAACCTGACTCTTAAGTTTCTTACTAGAAAAAACATTAAGAACATGATAATGTTCAAAGAGTATGAGACTTTCAGTAACCAAACATTTAATCCTTAAAATAAGAAAAAGAGTAATAAGAAAGAAGTGTGAAGACTAGCATAGGAGGTAGGAATCAGGAGAAAGAATAGAAAATACAGAGGGGCTAGATTACTTGCTAATTATTAATATGTGCTCAAGAGCTTGGCAAGCATTGCTTAGAATTCTAATTTTGCTACTTTCTAGTTGAATAACCAAAGAAAGTTTTAACTTCCCTTGTTTTCAGTTTTTAAATTTGTAAAATAGAGATTGGCATATTCCATTCATTCAGTAAATATTTATTCTCCTTGTGTTCAGATACCATCAAGTCAGCTCTATGAATTATAGACCTTGCCCTATCCCATGTCATCCTCAGAATCACCACCATGCTCAAGTTCATTGTCACAGTCACTGTATTAGCATCTTAACCCATGTCCTTTTGAGGGCCTTCCTCTCTTTTGCTGCTCCTCTGCTCTTCTAAGTGTTTTTCTAAGACCAGCACCTCCTGACAATATGCCCAAAGTATGTGAGATGAAGTTTCACCATCTTTGTCTCACAGAGCACTCTGTTTGTACCTCCTCCAAGACAGAGCTGCTTGTTCTTTTGGCAGTCACAATTCTTCACCAACACCACAATTCAACAGCATTGGTTCTTCTTTGGCCTAAGTTTCATGGACATATGAATCATTTTAAAATACCATGACTTGTATAAGAAGCACCTTACTCTTTAAGCGGATATCTTGCTCTTTAGTTGCTTTAAAGAAATCCTTGATAGCAAATTTACCCAACGCAAAATGTCTTTTGATTTCTTGAATGTTCCTTCTGTGGGTGTTGATGGTGGATCCAAGTAAAATGAAACTGTTGACAATTTCAGTCTCTTCTCCATATATCATTATTTCCCTATGTGCCTGGTTATAAGATTTTTGCTTGTTTGTTGCTGAAGTAGAATTAATTTTGAAGGTTGCGTGTAGTTTTTGATCTTTAATAAGTGCTTCTAGTCATCTTCACTTTCTGAAAGCAAAGTTTTGTCATCTGCATAAGATTGTGGTAAGACTTCCTCCAGTATTGTTGCCTCATGTTTCTTACTTACTTCAGGTTCTTGAATTATTTCAACCTACATATTGAATAGACATGTAGGAAAATTACAGCTCTATGTAAGTTTTCTGATTTTCAACCTTATATTCTTCCCTTTTTTGTTGAAACAACTTTTGGTCTATGTACAGCCTTCTAACGAGCACAATTAAGAGTTCTGGAATTCACATTCTTAACAATGTTATCCCTACTTTGTTATGATCTGCACAGTCCAATACATTTGCATAGTCAGTGAAACACAAGTAGAAATCTTTCTGGCATTATATGCTTTCCATCAAATTCTTTTTCTGATATCAGCAATGATATCTCTCATTCTATGCCATTTTCTTAATCTAGCTTGAATTTCTGTCTGTTCCCTGTCAATACTGTTCTTGGCTGTTTTTAAATACACTTTGGTGAGATCTTAATTGCGTGTCAGCAATGGTCTCAAGTGTGTCAGACAGTATGAAGGTGGTACAGGGATAGGACAGTGTTCATATCTATTGTTTGACAATTTCTACACTCTTTTGGATCATTTTTATTTCAAATGCTCATAAATATGGGTATCTTTCAATCAGCCAAGCATGTCACCAACTGATAAATTTCTTGGCATAACTACCGAACATGTACAAGGCTGTATCTATTTGCTGAGACACCTCCATTTGTGGAGACTTATTTATTTATTTTTCCAATACTTACAGTGCGGCTTGACTGTCTTTCTTTAGTACTAGGGAACACTGGTGGCTTTTGTTGTTAGTTGTTGTTGAGTATGACTCAGAACGACTCTGTGAACAACAGACATGAATCCTGTCCTATCCTATGCCATCCTCCTTATCTCTGACACATTTTAGTCCATTGATGCACTCACCGTGTCTATCTATCTTACTGAGTTTCTTCTCTTTCACTCACCCACCCACCTTTACAAATATAATGTCCTCTACTAAGGCATAGCCTCTCTTAGCAACATGTCTAAGTGTCCTAGCAACTTGATAGACTAAGTTTTGCTATCTGCCTCCAAAGAGCATTCTGGCTGCACTTCTCTCAGGACATATCTGTATGTTCTTTTGGCAGACCATGGGATGTTCAAAACTCTTCTCCAGCACCCCAGCTCAAGTGATCAATTCTTCTTGGATCATCTTTGTTCACTGTCCAGTTCTCAGATGCACAGCAAGTGATTGAAAAGACCATGGCTTGAAGCAGGCATTAGTCTTCAGACTGACATGATTGTTCAGTATTTTGGAGAGATCTCTGACAGCAGATTTTCCCAGTGCAATAGGTCCCTTGATCTCCTGGCTGCTGCTACCAAGTGTGATGATTGTTGATCCACATAAGATGAAATGACTGACAGTTTCAATCCTTTCTCCATCTTCCATGATGTTGCCTATTGACCCAATAGTGAGGACCTTTGTTTCTTAATGTTGCAATGTAATCCGTGTAATGGTCGTAGTCCTTTATTTTCTGCAGCAAACTTTTCAAGTACTCCTTGTTTTCAGCAAGCAAACATTATGTAATGTGCATACTGCAGCTTATTGATAAATCTACTGCAGCTTATTGATAAGTCTTCCTCTGATCCTGATGCCACATTCTTCTTCATAGAGTCCAGCTTCACTATTTGCTCAATACAGATTGAATAGGTCAGAGATTCAATCTAACAGATTGAATGAACTAGAAAATCATAAAACAATATAACTATATCTACTAGTTTTAGTAATTCTAGGCAATCTAGTTTAATTTGCATATTTGTTACTCATGGCATTGAACATCAGAGAATTTAAGTGCTTCATTCAAAATTATATAAATGGTCCTTTTATTTTTAAAAATACTGTTGCTAGTTTATTTTTACAATGGCTGGCAGTAACCTTTCTTAGAAACTATTACCTCTTCAAGTTTGTTACAAGAACAGACAGAGATTAGGTTCTAGTCATTTGTGGTTATAAAAGTGATGTTTTTTTATCTCTTCCAGTGTTCATTAATTTCAATCTTGAACTGAAGCTTTGTTCTTGACTGAATTGAATTCAGAACTCAACTTTTGGTCAAGTAATTCCATTTGTGGCTTGAAAAGTGACTGTACTGATTTTTTTTTTTAATTTTGTCATGTGTTTGAGGGTCATTCATGGAAAAGCAATATATTGCAGTAGCTGCCATGATAGAAATTTAGCATTTAATTATAAAAAAAATCTTTATGAATATTGGTATTTCTTTGTTTTCCTGGGAGTTTGAATAGTTTTTCTTCATTTAGTAATCTTGAAAAAGAAATATAGGACTGAGATGATTATAAAATGAATGAAATATTTTAAAATCACATTTTCTTTTCAGAGCATATAGTGAAGTTTATTTTAATCTAGAAGAAAGAGATAAATGTGACATTGTGGCACTCACAGAATATCAGATAATGTGTATATTAACATTTATAATTGCTTTCCTTGCCCTATTTTAAAAAGAAAATACCAGTATTGGCTTTGTAAGACAGGAATGTATTCACCTAACTTAATACTGCTTTATGATAGCCACTCAAAAAATACTAATTGAATTTAGTTTGATTAAAAGAAAAGATAAAAAAAATATACAATTTTGGGCATAAGAATAATCCGTTATTAGTGACAAAATAAATCAGATATTTGACCTTGAATTTTATTTAAACTCAATGGCCAACTTTCAGATGACTAAATTTCCCAATGCAAGAGCCTTTCCTTGAGACTTCACCTGACTTGGCTAACTTCTCTCATTATTCAACATTCAGATAAGGTTAGTCTCCTGAAGGAAACATTAAGATATATTCCCTGAGATCTTAATCCTCAATAAGGTGAGGTGCCATGGGCATTTTGTGCTTAACAACAGATCTCTTATAACACAGCATGGAATTATCTTCTTATTGTATCTGTTCTGCACATAATTCACTATTGAAAGTAGAAATTATTTATTAGGTACATAGTTGTGTTTGAAAGCTATGAAGGGGGGAGGGGGGGAGAGAGAGAGAGAAAGAAGGAGGAAAAGAAAGAGGAGGATGATTTAATGAATGAATTCTTCAAGTAAAGAAATACATAGAAAGCATTTTTTTCTATTAAGAAGATGAAAATGCAACAGAAACTGTTAACTCCATTTTCTCAAAGTAATGGTTCAAGTTGTGAGTTGTATTTTGGTACAATAGACTGACAAATGGAATTAAAATCTTAGCTAATTTTTAATATAAATACAATTTTGATAAGTTAGTTTTTTTCTTAAAAGTTTAATTTTCACATCTGAAAATATGGTTGTAATGGCCCATACAATACATACATACAGTGGAACATGAGCTAATCATTTGCAAATTAAGCCATTGTATTTATTTTAGAATAATTTAAAATATAATATCAAACTTACATTTTCCTTTATCAAGGTTATTTCCTGGAGCAGTCCATGTAAGGTGAATAATATTTTTTTCAAATTTACCATGAAGGTCATTAATTTTACTTGGTGGGAATGGAGTTAAAGGAGTTGCTTCAGGGCAAGAATTTCCTTCTACAACAAATGCCCCACCAAGTACCGTTCTGACAATACTGCTTTCTCCACTGGGTTTTACCACGTCTTTGAAAACAGGTCTGGGTGGGTTCGCTACAACTGTACCTGATAAAAAGATTTTTAAAAAATGTTTCAGATTATCATGTCTATTATTTACCTGTAAATTCAACTTGTAGCTGTAATTAGTAAGAGATAAAGAAAAAAATAACAACTTTTAATGGAAAAACTTGTTCTGTTAATACCTTTTTAAAATGATGAGAAGTGGTGCTAAATTAAAAAAAAAAACCCAACACTTATTTGCCTCTATTTTAAACCCACTGCTATTGAGTTGATCAACTCATACTAATTCTAGGGAACAGAGTAGAGCTATTCTACATGATTTCTTTGAAACTTCAGAGAGAGACAGAGTGACCTTGCCAACACACTGATTTCTAACTTCTGTTTTCTAGCATAATACATTATGTTTAAAGCTGCCAACCGAAGTTCTTTGGTTTGAATCTGTGAGCTACTCCATGGAAGAAAAATAGGTAGTCTCCCTCTTAAAGATTTACAGCCTGGAGAATCTGACAAAGGGTCTATATGAGTAAGTCAAAATCAACTCAATGCCAGTGGGTTGGGTTGTACTTGGTTTATAATGGCTAAGTCACTGGAATGCAAAATTTGGACTGATAAAAAAACTGGTAGATATAGAATATAGCATTGATAATAGAAATGAAGCTAGAGATCTCATGATGGTATTATGTATGATCAAGAATATATTCATTGCAAACATCTTTTTCAATGACATAAAAAAACATAAGTTGTGGTTATACACATGGACCTCATCTTATGGCATACACAGGAAGGGAAATGACTGTATCTGTGGAAAGAGACTGTGGAGAAATTCAGTATCAGCTGTCAAAACAAAGGTAAGGGTGTAGAGAAGAACAGGCCGTCAATACTCATATGCAAGCTCAAAAGAAGGAGAAGAAATTGAAATGCATGGAAGTGAAAATATACTTTGAGTTTCTTCCACCTGATTTTGTAAACTATCTCAAGAATAGAGTTGATAAAGTGAACAGTAGAAGCTGAAGGTCAGATGTGTTGTAGGATTACATCAAAAACATCATGCAGAAGTAAAAGGCCATTTCAAAGACATGAAAGAAAGAAAGAAAAGATCAAAATGGATGTCAGAAGAGACTCTGAATCTTGCTCTTCAATGTAGAGGATTTAAAACAAAAGGCAGAAATGATGAAACTACTGGACAGATTTCAGAAAGCCGTCTTAGAAGAGCAAGTGAAGTATTATAATGAAATGTACAAAGAACTGGAGCTAGGAAACCAAAAGGAAAGAATGTATTCAGCATTTTTCAAGTTAAAAGAATTGAAGAATAAATTCAAGCCTTTAGTTGCAATAATGAAGGATTGAATGGGAAAAATTTAGAATGGTGCAGGAAGCATCAAAAGAAGAATATACAGAGCAGTCACTCCACCAAACACAATTGGTTAGCACACTGAGAAATTTCTGACAGAAGAATATGATCAAGAACCAACACCACCACCTTGCTTTCAGACAGCGCAATGACCGCGCTCCGGGCTTTCACCTGCGATGACCTATTCTGCTTCAACATTAACTTGGATCTACTTACAGAAACTTAAAGGATTTCTTTCTACCTACAGCACCTTGCCCACTGGCCAAAGTACTTCATTGTTGCAGAAGCACCTGGTGGCGAACTGGTGGGCTATATCATGGGGAGAGCAGAAGGCTCTGTGGCGAGGGAGGAATGACACCAGCACGGCCCAGCTCTGTCTGTTGGCCCAGAATTCCTACATCTTGGTTTGGCTGCTAAGCCGATGGAGCTGCAGGAGATTTCAGAAAGAAAGGGTGGCTTTTTTGTTGGTCTCTCCGTAAGAGTGTCTAACCAAGGTGCAGTCAACATCTACAAGCAACTGGGCTTCAGTGTCTACAGAAGGGTCATAGAGTATTACTCAGACAGCAATGGTGAGCCCGACGAGGATGCGCATGATAGGCGGAAAGCTCTTTCCAGGGACACAGAGAAGAAATCCATCATACCACTGTCTCACCCTGTGAGGCCAGGGGACATGGAATAATTGTGCGCAGTGGTTCTCAGACAGATGCTCCAGAGTTTATAAAGGACAACTCCATTTTTCAGGAGGAAGTTAGTCATTTAGATCTTACAAACATCAAGAAAATAATGAGCCTTAACATTTAAAACTAATCTTACTGTTTCTAGTTAGCAATATTGTACCTAAAAAGCAGTTCAGAAGAGCCTTGGAACAAGGGTTAAATGCTGAACTGCTAACTCAAAGGATAGTGATTCAATGGATTCATCATTGATTCTATGGGGGAACGACCCAGGGACCTGCTCCTGTAAAGGTTATGGTTCAGGAAACCCCAGGAGGTAGTCTGCTCTGTCAGGTAGGGTTTCAGGGAGATGACATCAACTCAGTGAAACAAAATACAGCTGTGCATGGTAGTAAAATTCATTCCAGAAAGTAGCCAGGTTAGGAGATACTCCATCATGGTTAGGAATACTTGCCAAATGTCAGGGGCATTTTTGTAATCTCCTTCTAAATTCTATGCCCAAGAACCACTGCTCCTCATGTATTCTTTTTTAAAGATTGCTAATTGTAACTTAAAAAGTATGTATGATAGGTATGAATTTAATTAACTTGTATAATAAAATACACTGTAAATTTAAAAAAAAACAACCACACACAACAAAACCAACAACTGAAGGATGAAGTCCAAGCATTGCCAAAATGGAAAAAAACCAAAACAACCCAAAAAGCAAAAACCAGCTCAATAAATTAATAGAAAACAATTGAGGAGTTTTAGCAAGCAGATGCACTTGGATATGCTCTATAATCTATGCTAAGAAATATGAAAGATAGCTACCTAATCAACTAACAGGAAGAGACACATATTTGTTTCCATTTTAGATAAAGGTGATCCAACAGAGTACAGAAATTATTGAACATTATACTTAAAGGAGCTGAACAGAAGACTTCAAAGGGCACTGTGGGAAGACAAAGGAAAGTATTGTGTAATGAAATGTGTAAAGAACTGTGGTCAGAAAATCAAAAGGGCTGAATTTTCTCAGCATTTCTTGAGCTAAAGGAATTGAAGGACAAATTCAAGATTGAAGTAGCAATACGTAGGATACTTTGGGAAGAATATTAAATGATCCAGGATGCATTAAAAGAAGGTGTAATGAATATACAGGGTCAATGTACCAAAAGGAATTGGCTGACAGAAGAATTTCATGAAACAACATATGAACAAGAGCCTATGATGATGAAAGAAGTTCAAACTGCTCTGAAAGAACTGGTTAAAAACAAGGCCACAGGAATTGACGGCATACCAAATGACATATTTCAATGAACAGACACTTCCCTGGATGTGCTCACCAAGTTGTGCCAAGAAATCTGGAAGACAACCACCTGGCCAACTGACTAAAAAAGATCTGCATTTGTTCCCATTCCAAAGAAAGGTGACCCAGCTGAGTGCAGAAATTATTGGACAATATCATACTATCACATGAAAGCAAGATTCTGTTGAGAATTATCCAAAAACAACTGAAGAAGAGCATAAACAGACACCTGCCAGTTGTTCAGGTTGGGTTTAGAAAATGCTGCAGTACTAGGGATAGTATAGCTAATATTAGATGGGTCTTGGCTGAAAGTAGAGAGTACCAGAGGAATGTATGTGTTTCATTGACTATGCAAAGGCATTTGAATATACGAATCACAACAAACTGTGGCTAACTCTGAGAAGAATGAGAATCCCAGAACATTTGATTGTGCTTATGCAAAACCTATGCGTGGACCAGGAGGAAGGCGTCAGAAAAGAGCAAGGAAATTGGGAAGGGTGTATGCCAGGGATGTGTCCTATCTCCATACCTTTTCAATCTATATGCAGAACAGATCATTTGGGGGGCTGGACTCTATGAGGTGGAGTGTGGCATCAGGATTGGGGAAAGACTCATCAACATTCTGTGTTATTCAGATGACACAACTCTGCTTATTAAAACTGAGGAGAACCTAAAGCACTTGCTGCAGAAGGTCAAGAATTGTAGCCTTCAATATGGATTGAAGCTCAATAGCAAGAAAACAAAGATTCTTACCACTAGGCCAATTAGCAGCATTATGATAGATGGAGAAGAGATTGAGATTGTTAACAGCTTTAGTCTTCTTGGCTCCACAATCAACACTTTTGGTACCAGCAGACAGGAAATCAAAAGATTAATTACACTGGGAAAGCCTGCTGACTTTCTTCAGGAGTATTGAAGAGCAATGATGTCAGTCTGGAGACTAAGGTGCACCTGATACAGGCCATGGTCTTCTCAATTATTTGCTATCCATCAGAAAGCTGAAAAATGACTAAGGATGATAGAGAATTGATGACTTTGAGCTGTGGTGCGAAGAATAGTATTGAATATACTATGGGCTGCTTCTTGGAGACAAGGCTTTGTCTGACATACTTTGGGCATGTTGCAAGGAGGGACCAGTCCTCACAGAGGGACATCATGTTTGGATCAGTGGAGGGACAGTACAAGAGAGGAAGACCCTGGATGAGATGGAGTGTTTTAGTGACTGGGCTAATGAGGGTAAGTGTGTCAGAGACAATAAGGTTGGCACAGGAAAGAGCAGGTTTTAGGGTCACTATGAGTCGCAAGTGACTTGTCAGCACACAACAACAACAACAACAACAATCATATCACATTGAAGTAAAATCTTATGGATGATTATTGTAAAAATAGTCATCAACAGGAAACTGTTAGAGATTCAAGCAGGATTGAAAAGAGGCTGTGCAATGAGAAATAGCATTGTTGATATCAAATAGATGTTGGCTGAAGGCTGAGAATACCAGAAAGATGTCTACTTGTGTTTTATTAACTATGCAAAGTATTGTACAGTGTAGATTATAATAAATTATGATTAACTGAGAAGAATGGAGAACACTCAATAGTGCTCATATGAAACCTATACTTAGACAAAGAGGCAGTTTTCAGACAGAGAAAGAGGACATTACATGGTTTAAAATCAGGAAAAGTATGCATCAAATTTGTTGCTTTTCTTTAAACCTCTTCAATATGTATACTTAGCAAATACATTTTAGAAGTTGAACCATTTGAAGTAGAATGTGACATTAGAACTGGAGGAAGTCAATTTAGCTTGGAGTTCGAATCCACTAGTTTGAATCCCTAAAAGAGACAAACTCCTCCCATATGATTTATTGGCTCTGAAAACCCCTTAGAGTTTCAGCTATGAGTATGTTCAGACTTGACAGTAAACGGTAACAACAACAGGAAACAGCTCCTGGGGAAGAAAATTCCTGATGATCTGTTCCTCTGACAATTATAGCCTAAGAAACCCTATAGGATAGTTTTACTTTGTTCTGTAGAATCACTCTCAGTTGACTTAATGACATACAACAATAATAACAAGCCTCCAAATCAGGAAGAGATTAAGTGTTTGTATTTTTAAACTATCTAGTTTGTGGTGTTTTTGTTATCATTGTTTGTGCTAGTGAGTTAAAACTGTCACCATTTCATCAATGTCACTGAGTCATCACGTTGCCTGTAATTCATAGTGACCCCATTACAAAAGCTCTGAACCCTGCCCTATCCTGAGCCAGTCTCACTGACTCCAACACAACTACCCCATTTCCCTAGTTACTGTGTCAAACCATCTCCTCTGGGATTTTCCTCTCCTGCACTGTCCCTCCATGCTCTTTCCTGACAGTGTGCCCAAAGTGTGTGAGACAGAGGTTCAAAATCCTTGCCACCAAGGAGAAACTTGGTTTCACTCTAAGACAGACCTGTTTGTTCTCTTGGCCATCCATATTATGTATAATACTCCACTTCAGCACCACAACTCAAAGACACTGATTTTTCTTCTATCATCCTTAGTTATTTTCTAGCTCTCTGATGCATAGTAAGTAATTGTAAAGACCACGGCCTGGATTAGGCACACCTTAGTCTCCAGACTTACATCATTGCTCTTTAGCACTTTGGAGAGGTCATTGACAGCTGACTTCCCCAGTGCAATTTGATTTTTTTATTTCCTTACTGCTGGTGCTAGGAGTGTTGATTGTGGAGCCAAGGAAGCTGAATTTTTTAACAACCTCAATATCTTCTTCATCTATCTTGGGGCCACCATTTGGCCCAGTGGAAAAGGGATTAGTTGATAGCAGACCTAAAAACCAGTTCAAATCCAAACTCACTACAGTCGACTTGATTCTGACTCACAGTGATCCTATAGGCAGAGTAGAACTGATACGTGGTTTAAAATTAATAAAATAATAATAAAATACAATACATAAAAATAGATTAATAATTAAAGAATAAATTAATCAAAGGAGTTCATTTAAGGGAGGGTTTAGATGCTAACTCTTCAGTTAGCATCCAAACTTTCAGTCATTACCCCACTAGGGATTTTTAAAAAATAACAAAACAAAACTTTACTATAACATAAGAAATTTTATTCATGTAAATTGAATGAACTGATGTAAACTTTATCAAAACACCTGAAAGCATAGGGAGCTCTGGTGGCCTAGTGGCAAGAAGCTGCACTGCAATCCGAGAGGCTTGTGGTTCAAGTCCACCAGATGCTCTGCTGAAGAAGGATGGGCAATCTCCTCCTGTACCAGTCAGATCTGATTTGACGGTACACACATAAAAAAAATAATAATAAAATAAAACAACAATAACCCCCCACAACATCTGAAAGCATAGTTTTATGTCTGTCCAGTCACAGGGCTTTCAGCATATATGTGATTGCAAATTATAAATTTAGGCTTTCTACGTATTACAGCTATCAGATGTTGCCCTAGATGTGCTCACCAAATTGTGCCAAGAAATCTGGAGGAAAACCACTTGGCCAACTGACTGGAAGAGATCTATATTTGTTCCCATCCCAAAGAAGGGTG